AGCCCGCCTGACAGAGCAGCTCCCCTTGATCATCGTTTGTGATCGTTTCAACTTTATCCACGATCTGGTCTTGTACCTCTACCAGAACCAGCAGTTCAAGTCGATCGAGGTATATGTCCAGCGCGTCAACCCTGGTCGCGCCCCTTCTGTTGTTGGCGGCTTGCTCGATGTTGACTGTGAGGAGAGCATCATCAAGAACCTGCTCTCAACTGTCGACCCATCCGTGATCCCCATCGACGAGCTCGTTTCCGAGGTCGAGAGCCGAAACCGTCTCAAGCTGCTCCTGCCTTTCCTCGAGGCCACTCTTGCCACTGGCAACCAGCAGCAGGCTGTCTACAATGCTCTTGCGAAGATCTACATCGACAGCAACAACGACCCAGAGAAGTTCCTCAAGGAGAACGACCAATATGACACCCTCACCGTTGGAAAGTACTGCGAGAAGCGTGATCCCAACCTGGCGTACATTGCCTACAGCAAGGGCCAGAACGACCTGGAGCTCATTAGCATCACTAATGAGAATTCCATGTTCCGTGCCCAAGCTCGTTACCTCGTTGAGCGTGCCGACCCCGAGATCTGGAGCTTTGTCCTCAGCGAGAACAACGAGGGCCGACGTTCCCTTGTGGACCAGGTCATCGCCACCGCGGTTCCCGAATCTACCGAACCCGAGAAGGTGTCTGTCGCTGTCAAGTCGTTCCTTGAGGCTGATCTGCCCGGTGAGCTGATTGAGCTGCTCGAGAAGATCATTCTGGAGCCCTCTCCTTTCAGTGATAACACCAGCTTGCAGAACCTCTTGATGTTGACTGCTGCCAAGGCTGACAAGAGTCGCCTGATGGACTACATTCACCAGCTCAATGAGTTCTCCGCTGATGAGATTGCTGAGATGTGTACCAGCGTTGGTCTCTACGAGGAGGCCTTTGAAATCTACAAGAAGGTTAACAACAACTTGGCCGCCGTCAATGTGCTTGTAGAGAACATTGTTAGCATCGACCGAGCTCAGGAGTTCGCTGAGCGTGTCGAGCTGTCTGAGGTTTGGAGCAAGGTTGCCAAGGCCCAACTCGATGGTCTTCGTGTGACTGACTCAATTGAGTCCTACATCCGTGCCGAGGATCCATCCAATTACCACGAGGTGATTGAGACTGCAACTCATGCAGGCAAGGATGAGGATCTCGTCAAGTTCCTTCGCATGGCCCGCAAGACGCTGCGTGAGCCGGCTATTGATACTGCTCTTGCTTTCTGCTTTGCCCGCCTGGACCAGCTTGCTGAGCTCGAGGACTTCCTTCGCACTACCAATGTTGCGGATATCGAAGCGTCCGGTGACAAGGCTTATGCTGAAGGCTTCCACCATGCTGCTAAGATCTTCTTCACCAACATCTCTAACTGGGCCAAGTTGGCGACCACCTTAGTTCACCTGGAGGACTACCAAGCTGCAGTGGAGTGCGCCCGCAAGGCTAATAGCGTCAAGGTCTGGAAGCAGGTCAACGAGGCCTGTGTTGAGAAGAAGGAATTCCGTCTTGCCCAGATTTGCGGTCTCAACCTGATTGTTCACGCCGAAGAGCTGCAGAGCCTTGTTCGCCAATACGAGCGCAATGGATACTTCGATGAACTGATCGCTGTCTTGGAGGCAGGCCTGGGTCTTGAGCGGGCTCACATGGGCATGTTCACAGAACTTGGCATTGCTCTGTCCAAGTACCACCCAGACCGTGTCATGGAGCACCTGAAGCTCTTCTGGTCCCGCATCAACATCCCTAAGATGATCCGGGCCTGTGAGGAAGCTAATCTCTGGCCGGAGCTGGTGTTCCTGTACTGCCACTACGATGAGTGGGATAACGCCGCTCTTGCCATGATGGAGCGTGCAGCCGATGCCTGGGAGCACCACTCCTTCAAGGATATTATCGTCAAGGTTGCCAACTTGGAGATCTACTACCGGGCGCTGAACTTCTACCTTCAGGAGCAACCCCTTCTGCTCACTGACCTGCTTCAGGCTCTGACCGCTCGGATCGATGTCAACCGTGTCGTTCGCATCTTCCAGAGCTCTGACAACATCCCCCTGATCAAGCCTTTCCTGCTCAATGTTCAGTCTCAGAACAAGCGGGCTGTCAACGACGCTATTAACGAGATTCTGATCGAGGAGGAGGACCACAAGCTGCTTAAGGATTCTGTTGACCAGAATGACAACTTTGATGCTGTGGCTCTCGCCCAGCGTCTTGAGAAGCACGACCTCATTTTCTTCCGCCAGATTGCGGCCAACATTTACCGCAACAACAAGCGATGGGAAAAGTCGATCGCCCTCTCCAAGCAGGACAAGCTCTACAAGGATGCTATTGAGACTGCCGCTATCTCCGCCAAGCCCGAGGTTGTGGAGGACCTTCTCCGCTACGTAAGTTCGCTCTCTCTGTCATTGCTTCAGACTTTACTAATTGCAACTAGTTCGTCGATATTGGTAGCCGTGAGTGCTACGTTGGCATGCTTTATGCCTGCTACGACCTCATCCGCCCCGATGTCATCATGGAGATCTCCTGGCGCAAGGGTCTTCACGATTTCACCATGCCCTTCATGATCAACTTCCTCTGCGAACAGACCCGATCGATCGAGATGCTCAAGAAGGACAACGAGGAGCGAAAGAACCGCGAGAAGACAACCCGCACAGAGGAGGACAATACTCCCATCTTGCAAGGCTCCCGGCTCATGCTGACCCAGGGTTCTCAGTCCAACGGCGCCGGTCTCACACCCCAGGCAACTGGGTATCGTGGATTCTAGAATCGTGCACTGGTTTTGCTTTTGATTCTTCGTTTCTCTTGCATTTGTAACATACAGCGGAAGTGATTGAGGTTGCAAAAGGAACGATTTTCATATGGAGGGATGGTTACGCCAAGAGTGTGCCATAGGAGGAACTCATGACCCATTTAATCTTGCTTTCTGATATTTTTTTCCCCATGTATTTGATAAGCTTGCGTTTTCTTTTTATGCTTTTCACAGTCTGGGCCATGGCCCGATATTCAGTAATAGCATTGCGATTTCCCTAGTTTTTTTTTTTTTTTTTTTCTCTCTCACCGCAGTAACCTCAGTAATTCCCTGTTTTTCCTCAAGTCCGAGGCTGCCAAGGGCCCGCCCATGATCCATTCGAACGTAAGGGTCTTCGGTGAAGAAAGCAGTATCGCCAAGATGCCAAGGTAAATCATCTGCAACTATGTATTTGTCCCTATGGGATGGTGAGTGCAGATCACCTTATCAGCTTTCAGCTTTCCCCATGAGGTGCGACGGTAGGCTGACATTGGATGTCTTAGGTATGAGATGCTAGTGTGTATTACCCCACTCTACATCTTCGAAGCACCTTTTTTTTTTTTAGCTCTAGTGCTACCTGCGGAATTACTGAAGTATATACTGTACAACATAGGAGTTTCACAGTTCCGAGCTGCCGATTTCCCTCTTCGGCCCGGCTAGAGGGAAACACTACCGGAGAGTTGAACCCCGTGGAGGGAACATGCAGCAAGCAAGGGCGGAAAAAAAGGAAGTGTATTTTTCCGTCGGGGATGTAGAAGTGTGACCAAAGGACCCCCCTGACGATGTCAATCGGGGAAACTTCCAAGCTAGATAAGGGCTTCCAGCGGTGATTGCACGGCTTCCAATCTTCCAAGGTTCTTTTTGCTCAAGGAGCTTATCAGAGGTGCGATTTTCCCGCACTCCAAGTAGATAATGGTGTATCAGGTTGCATTCTCGGGCTGATGGATGCTAACAATGGAATAGCTCGGGTTGTATAGAGCTTGGCACCTTGGGGAATCCCAATTTCGGAATGTCGCTTGGCATGAGGTCTACGAATCATCCTGGAGATTGGTAGTACCTGTCATACAAGCGGGAGATCCCCCCGGAGTGCCAAGGGAGGGATATGTGAGATTGAATGGGTGATTTGATAGTGGGGGGCGGTACAAATCAAATAGCGTCATGGATTGCGATTATCGGCTTTCAATTGTGGACGCATGACCGGTCGAAGATTTTCATTCCCTTTTCAGTTGGAATAATTGAGATATTTAGATATTTCCATATATGAATTAGATTGAACTTTACCTACTTTGTAGGTGAATTATGTACAATGTAGATATCGGCTCGGTCACATCTTTCCCGAAGACAGGAATCTTGTAATTGAGACCTGATCCACTTCTCTTTGCTGCACATGTGTCGAGAGTTCTCCGAGTCTCCCCCGGACTTTTCCCTACCAGTTGCCCGCGAATATCCGCATAGTCACGAATCAAAGGCTATATATGTTGGATGTTCACGTTTCTCCCGAGGACCCGAGGTAGATCAACGGAATCAGTTGCCTAAACCACCCGAATGTTATCGTGCGAGGTCATAGGGAGTTATCGTGCGAGACGAGGCGTTCTCGTCCGGGGTAGAAGTGGGAATAAATAGGAGCATAGTGGTATATAGGTGTTTAGTATGGGGAGGTACAGGGTAAAAGCCCCGCATGAACTAGCAAATTAGATACATTAATCTCCTTTTTAGGATAAATTCCAATAATTAGAATTCTTATTATTCTATTATTATTCTATTCGATTTGATCATTGTCAAATTTCTAGGGCTCCGGTGTACCGGTGAACCTGTAAGTACCTGTTACCTCATTCCTGGAGTCAATTCTCCCCCCCCGGAAAGTATTGGTGACATTTGTAGATCGCGCTTGTGATTCCCCTCTTTATCTAACCCCTCCCCCCTTCAAAATCCTTCTAACTTTTTTTTTCTTCTTTCTATCTCCCTTAACTATTCAATTCTATTCAATCTCTATTATATACCTTCTGTTACTTATACTGAAGAAACAGTGAGAGCGATTGCGCAGTGATCCGCCGAAACCGGCCTGAAATTGGAACCCGGATAGCTTCCCAGCTCCCAAGGTTATAGTGAGTCACCGCCTCTGCTTGCCACACCGAGAGAGCTGGACCTCGGGAACTTTCAACTAATCCAATCCTCTCTAGTTAACAACTGCCTAACCTCCTTCATCTCACACATCTACCATGGCTGCTGTTCCGCACCGCCAGCCGGAGCAGGCCATTGATGAGTCTGACTTCATCGAGGATCACAATGAGCACCACCAGGACTCAGTCCACCGCCGTCTGCGGGCCAACTCGACCATCATGCACTTCCAAAAGATCCTAGTCGCCAACCGTGGTGAAATCCCCATCCGTATCTTCCGTACCGCACATGAACTGTCCCTCCAGACGGTCGCTGTCTTCTCACACGAAGATCGTCTCTCAATGCATCGCCAAAAGGCTGATGAGGCTTACATGATCGGCCACCGGGGCCAATATACCCCCGTGGGTGCCTATTTGGCTGGTGATGAGATCATCAAGATCGCCCTGGAGCACGGCGTCCACCTGATCCACCCCGGCTACGGTTTCCTGTCAGAGAACGCCGAGTTCGCCCGGAACGTCGAGAAGGCTGGCATTGTCTTCGTGGGACCTACCGCTGAAACCATCGATGCCCTTGGTGACAAGGTTTCTGCTCGCCGCGCCGCTATCAAGTGCAATGTCCCCGTTGTCCCCGGAACTCCGGGCCCCGTCGAGCGCTTTGAAGAGGTCAAGTCCTTCACTGATGAATTTGGCTTCCCCATCATTATTAAGGCTGCCTTTGGTGGTGGTGGCCGTGGTATGCGTGTTGTCCGTGCCCAATCCGAGCTGCGTGACGCTTTCGAGCGTGCTACCTCCGAGGCCCGCACCGCCTTCGGTAACGGTACCGTCTTCGTCGAGCGTTTCCTTGACCAGCCTAAGCACATCGAGGTTCAGCTTCTCGGTGATAACCAGGGCAATGTTGTCCACCTCTTCGAGCGTGATTGCTCCGTCCAGCGTCGCCACCAGAAGGTCGTTGAGATTGCTCCTGCCAAGGACCTTCCCACCGATGTTCGTGATAAGATTTTGTCCGATGCCGTGAAGCTGGCCAAGTCAGTTCGGTACCGCAACGCTGGTACCGCTGAGTTCCTTGTCTGCGGCAATGAGCACTACTTCATCGAGATCAACCCCAGAATTCAAGTCGAGCACACTATTACCGAGGAAATCACCGGTATCGATATCGTGGCCGCTCAGATCCAGATCGCTGCTGGTGCAACCCTTGAACAACTTGGCCTTACCCAGGACCGCATCTCTACTCGCGGTTTCGCCATTCAGTGCCGTATCACTACTGAGGATCCCGCCAAGGGCTTCTCCCCCGACACTGGTAAGATCGAGGTCTACCGCTCTGCTGGTGGCAATGGAATCCGTCTGGACGGTGGTAACGGCTTTGCTGGTGCCATTATCTCTCCCCACTACGATTCTATGCTGGTCAAGTGCACTTGCCGTGGCTCGACCTACGAGATCGTCCGCCGCAAGATGCTGCGTGCTCTGGTTGAGTTCCGTATCCGTGGTGTCAAGACCAACATTCCTTTCCTTGCGTCACTCCTGAGCCACCCCGTATTCATCGATGGTACTTGCTGGACTACATTCATTGATGACACCCCCGAGCTGTTTGCCCTCGTCGGCAGCCAGAACCGTGCCCAGAAGCTGCTCGCTTACCTGGGTGACGTTGCTGTCAACGGTAGCAGCATCAAGGGCCAGATCGGCGAGCCCAAGTTCAAGGGCGATATCATCCGGCCCGTTCTCAATGATGCTGCGGGCAAGCCCATTGACCTCTCCAAGCCTTGCACTACCGGCTGGAAGCAGATCCTGGACCGCGAAGGTCCCGAGGGCTTCGCTCGCGCTGTGCGCGCCAACAAGGGCTGCTTGATCATGGACACCACCTGGCGTGATGCCCACCAGTCGTTGCTTGCCACCCGTGTGCGAACAATTGATATGCTGAACATCGCCGCTGAGACCAGTCACGCATTGAGCAACGCTTACTCCCTCGAGTGCTGGGGTGGAGCCACCTTCGATGTCGCTATGCGCTTCCTCTACGAGGATCCTTGGGACAGACTTCGCAAGATGCGCAAGGCCGTCCCCAACATTCCCTTCCAGATGCTGCTGCGTGGCGCCAACGGCGTTGCCTACTCTTCCCTTCCCGATAACGCCATCTACCACTTCTGTAAGCAGGCCAAGAAGTACGGTGTCGATATCTTCCGTGTCTTCGATGCCCTGAACGATCTTGACCAGCTCGAGGTTGGTGTTAAGGCGGTCCACGAAGCCGGTGGTGTTGTTGAGGCCACCATGTGCTACAGTGGTGACATGCTGAACCCCAAGAAGAAGTACAGCTTGGAGTACTACCTGGGTCTGGTGGACAAGATCGTCGCGATGCGTCCCCACGTTCTTGGAATCAAGGATATGGCTGGTGTGCTCAAGCCCCAGGCTGCCCGTTTGCTGATCGGTTCCATTCGCAAGCGCTACCCCGATCTCCCCATCCACGTTCACACTCACGACTCCGCCGGAACCGGTGTCGCCTCTATGATTGCCTGTGCCGAGGCCGGTGCCGATGCCGTAGACGCCGCTACCGACAGTCTGTCTGGTATGACCTCGCAGCCCAGCATTGGTGCTCTCCTTGCTTCCCTGCAGGGTACCGAGCACGACCCCAAGCTGGACCTGTCTCACGTCCGCGCTATCGACAGCTACTGGGCTCAGCTTCGTCTGCTCTACTCTCCCTTCGAGGCTGGTCTGACCGGCCCCGACCCCGAGGTCTACGAGCACGAGATCCCCGGTGGCCAGCTGACCAACCTGATCTTCCAGGCCAGCCAGTTGGGTCTCGGACAGCAGTGGGCTGAGACCAAGAAGGCGTACGAGGTGGCCAACGAGTTGCTGGGCGACATCGTCAAGGTCACTCCCTCCTCCAAGGTCTGTGGTGACTTCGCCTCCTGGATCGTCAGCAACAAGCTGTCCGCTCAGGACGTGCTGGACCGTGCCGATCAACTCGACTTCCCCGGATCAGTCTTGGAGTTCTTCGAGGGTCTGATGGGCCAGCCCTACGGTGGCTTCCCCGAGCCCCTGCGTACCAAGGCCCTGCGCGGCCGTCGCAAGCTCGACAAGCGCCCCGGTCTGTACCTGGAGCCCATGGATCTCATCAAGATCAAGAACGATATTCGCGAGAAGTTCGGCGCCGCCACCGAGTGTGACGTCGCCAGTTACGCCATGTACCCCAAGGTGTTCGAGGACTACCGCAATTTCGTGGCCAAGTTCGGTGATCTGTCCGTTCTGCCGACGCGCTACTTCCTTGCCCGGCCCGAGATCGGCGAGGAGTTCCACGTCGAGCTGGAGAAGGGTAAGGTCCTGATCCTGAAGTTGCTTGCCATCGGTCCTCTTTCCGAGCAGACCGGTCAGCGTGAGGTCTTCTACGAGGTCAACGGCGAAGTCCGCCAGGTCAGTGTCGATGACCAGAAGGCCTCGATCGAGAACCTCGCCCGCCCCAAGGCCGAGCCCACAGACAGCAGCCAGGTCGGTGCTCCCATGAGCGGTGTCGTGGTTGAGATCCGCATCCACGATGGCCACGAGGTCTTGAAGGGTGATCCTATTGCGGTGTTGAGCGCCATGAAGATGGTACGTTATTATTTCTTGTCTTCTATTACACATATGAATATCTTGCTAACTTTTATCTAGGAAATGGTGATCTCTGCCCCGCACAGCGGAAAGGTGTCTGGCCTCCAGGTCAAGGAGGGTGACTCCGTCGATGGCCAGGATCTGATCTGCAGGATCAGCAAGGCGTAAAAGCATAGCTACTCTGTACTACTGAACCATGCACGATTTGTGATGCGTGATGTGATTTGAATGATTTCTCAGCGTTTTTAGTTTATGTTTGTCGAGTTTTATCTCTGGATTTGGCAATTTGCTGTTCTAGCTTATTCGGAATCGAACAGTATTCTGTTATGGTGATTTTGGAGTCAAAACATTTCCAGTCTTCCCTCTGTAGTTGCAGCTAGTAAGTCGGGGCCAGATCTAGCCCCGAGCGGACTTTTGCCGTTCCCCACAAAGCACTTTCTATCCTTCTCCAACTGCCAATGGCCAATGGCGAATGACGAATTGCCGATTCCCTTGTCTCTCACCAATGAAGCCCAATCGCCTCGTTATCTCGGCTAAAGCATCTGGAAACTGCGGAATGAAGACCGACACTACTTGAAGGACGTGGTTCCCAGACTGGACTGCTCTGCTTCACTACAGCATACTTCAAGCCCGTTCAAAATAGTGACGTGTATTTACATCTGTGCTAACTGGGATCTATACTTTACTACCCCAAATCAACCATCAACAGAACTGAAACCAAAAAAGATGGAAACAATCCGCCGCACTCACCTTAAATCCCTCGCCCACCGCGGCACAATCCAAGGCGTAACAATCTCAACATCGTCTTCTCCCACCAGCCAAGCCAAAGACCTCTGCCACTACTTCGGCGGTGTCCGCTACGGCCTTGCCCCCGCCGAGCGATGGCGCCGCGCCGCGCCCCTACCCGAGTCCTTCACCTATGGCAGCGAAGAAGCACCGGGCCGCTGTGATGGGGGTGCGGGGCTTTGCCCCCAACCGGCCTTTCGATATACGCCCGAGGACCCGGATGCGTGGAACGAGGATTGCTTTCAGTGTAATGTCTGGACGCCTATTGGGGAGGTGCCTGAGGGAGGATGGCCTGTTTTTGTTTATATTCGTGAGTATTATCTGATTGAAACTAGGATATATGGGGTTCGGACCTGGGATGAGCGAGATAGTTTGACATAAACCGTGCTGATAGGCATTGTTCGGCGCAGATGGCGGATGGCTTCAATTCGGCACGCCCAATTCATTCAATGCGGCTGCATTGATCGGCGAGGCTGATTTCAACTGCGTGGTTGTGATGCCTGCATACCGGGTCAACCTTTTCGGGTTCCTCTACTCAGTAGAACTTGAGGAGGACGCAGCCACTGTCGGAGAGACAGTTGGGAACCATGGATTCTGGGACCAGAGACTAGCACTGGAGTGGACGAAGGAGAACATCCAGCTATTCGGCGGTAATCCGGAGACTATCACGATCTCAGGATATTCCGCAGGTGCCAACTCCGTCTTCCACCAACTAGCCTACGATCTCCGCCAACCAGACGAGAACTCCATCATCCGCCAAGCCTGTATTTGGTCAAACAGCCCAGCCGTCCAGCCCAAGCAGCCAACCGAAACACAAACCCAATTCAACCAACTCCTAACAGTTTTGGATATTCCCCTCACCCTGTCCCATAGCGAGAAACTCACCAGATTACGCTCAATTCCCGCAAAAGCCCTCCTCGACAAAGCAAGAACAATCCCCCTGCACCAATTCCGCCCAACTACAGACACATCCTTCATCTCCCCATCCCTCTTCGCAACACTCGACAGCGGCGCCTTCGCCCGCAGCCTCCTGGCCCGCAACATCCGCGTCATAATAGGCGAATGTTGCGACGAGCGCTTCCTCTACAGCGTATGGTTCCCGCCGACAGACAATACCCTCTCCGCGCTACGCACCCGTCTCGTTGCAGATTACCCAGAACACATTGTCGACGCTGTCATACCGCTGTATTACCCAGACGGCCGTCTACCGGCGCACTGCGAGAACTGGGACCAGGATGCGTGGGGGAGGATCTATGCTGATCTGCAGGTGCATCAGATGCAGCGTGGACTTGCGTATGCGTTGACGGAGAACGAGGACGGGGTTGATGCTTCGGCGTTGCTGTTTCGGTATCGGATTGAGTGGAGGGCGAAGTGTGTCGAGGCGACTTTGCCGGTTGAGTGGGGGTTACGCATTCGTCGGATTATCCGGTTTGGTTCTTTGGGAATGGGGGGTTGTTAGGGGAGGGGGAGAAGAGGGTTGTAAAAGAGGGATTTATTGGTCCATTGGGGAAGTTTGTTCGGGGGGAAGGGGAGTTTGGATGGGGGACTTCTGGGGCTAGGTTGGTTAGGACGTTGAGGGGGGATGGGAGTGTTGAAATTATGGAGGATGGGGATTGGGAGGAGGGTGTTAGGGTTTGGAAGCTGTTGAGGGATGCTGGGAGGTGAGGTCTCTACATATCCTTATGCTAGTAACTATACGACTATACAACATCTGTCGCTCAAATTATATGCCAAGCTTTCCCCGCATTCTAATTACGTCAAGGCAGGGTACATTATAGTACATTCAAAGTACATGTGTTAGACATGTACAATAAATGTATATTTAAGTACTAGGGAGGTACTTGGCATTGTAGGAACTAGATCTTTGGTGATTCACAGCGTTGTAACGTAGTAAGGCTACTAAGCTACATGGTTCTTATAAGGCAACTTTTCCCCCTCTTTACCTCTTCTCTGTATTTTCATTTCTATTGATTCAAATATTGCAGAATATCAAGGTATGTTTCATTCCATTTTTCCACCTACTCCATATCTATAAAGGGCAACCCGAACAAGAATGACGTCGTTGACTTCCCAACTCTTAAAAACCATATCTCATAATCATCATATATCCTCTCTTTAGAATTTCCTTGCTCACTCTTACTAAATTAAATCCTCAAGAGGACGAGAATCACCTCCATCACGGATTACTCCAACTTCCTAGACATCTCCAAAATGTCTGATGACAATACCCGCCGTCACTGGCACGGAAACCCCGGCGACCGTCACGAGCATCTCAATGTCTGGATGAACGGCGGTGCCAAGAGCCCCAGTGGTCGTGCTGCATGGGCAATGCCCGACACTGAGAGAAGGGTAGGTCATTTGCCTCTTTCGATTCCTGTTTCTTATATCTCAATCCCCATATATTATCCCCTTGGCACTACATCACTACATCATTATTCTTCTATCATCCATCCATCTATTATCTATTCAATATCTCCAAAACCCCTCTAATATCCAAAATGAAGGACTCCAATACCTCCACCTCCTCAAGCGGGAACAAAGGAACCGAAGGCACCGCGACGAACTATCCAAGCCTCGGTGAGCGTCGTCGCAGCTCTGCCGGCTCTACCGGCGGTCTCTTCTCGAACTTGCAAACACAGAAGCGTGAATCTACAAACCCCGATATGGCTACCCGCCGTGCGAGCTGGAATGAACAGGCTGCCAAGGGAGGCATGTTCTCAAAGTGGTGGGATGGATACACCCGGGGCAGTGGTAGCAAGTAGTATTTTGTTTTCAAATTGGATCGTTTGTGTGTGTGTGGATTTGTACACTTGACATTGGGGTTTGTTCTGGAGATGGAAATTGGGACAACCTGAAAACAACAGAAGAAATATTGGGATTCGGGGGGTTATTGTTTTAGTTTGGTGCTTCTGTGGGCTTTGCTGAATTTTATGATCATTATTTCTTTGATAAGGCTTCTTGTCTCTTTCTCTACAAGATATACCTTCAATCTAATTGCACTTCGTACAAAGATATCTCGGTCTTTCGCTATACTTCCAATCCCTAATCGGGCACCCACTTGATATAGGCGACTACTGCTGATTCGAGGCATGATAGATTTAACGAATCATTAAGTAAAGTCTGGCACCGTACCCATAACTGGAACCATCAACTAATCTGATCGTAAATATGCGTGATATTGAACTGGCTTAAAGCCCAATGTGCCACTATCTCACCCCATAGTTGTCTCCCAACCTTTCTCAATCATGACATCAACCCAATAAGCATCATCATCCCCGGCGTCCAACCTCTTCCAGACCTCATTAACCAATTTCAAGCATACATGAATCGGTTTTGGCGGCAGAACATGCAAAAAAGAGGTTAGACGGCCGAGGATGAACTTGCGCGTGCGCGAAACCTCAATAGCCTCCATTGAGATGGTAGGTGTTTGATTTGAGTTGTCGTTACCCCCGCCCTCTGAGTAATCCTCGCTACTCCGGGGTTGATTGCGTGCGTTTGTGGCCAGGCGCGGGAGACGGAGCTCTGAGCAGGATGCTACTAGGAGGAATGGCTGGAGGCAGCGGGTGCGTGATTCCAGGGGTATAGTTTTTAGTCGGGAGAGGGTTGTCACAGCAAACTCGGTGAGCCAGTTGCTGTATAGGGCTTCTGGAGTGAGGGTTTGTTGGGTGTCTGGTGGTGGCGGGGATGGTATATGGTGAGGGGAATGACGGTAGAGATTGTGAGGGGAAGATATTGTAGACGGCGAAGGGGCGTTGTGTCGAGTGGCGTTTTGTCCTGTTGTTGAACTGGGGTCGCCGAATCCAGCTGAAAGGTTCATGCTGTCGAGGTCGATTGGGAAGAATGAGTCGCGGGGTGCTGGATCGGCGTTGCTAGGGTATTGGGGTGATGTGGATGTTGGAGCGGGCAGGCGGTTGTGTAGTAAGTCTGGGAAGACGCGGTATAGCTGCATGAGACCGACACATCGATACGCTTCGGCCATCGTGAGAAGGTGCCATACTGGGGTATCGTCGTCACCAGGACTGACGATCTCGGCCTCGGAGGGATGGGCGAGACCCAAAAGGCGTTCTTCTAGTTCGCGAGCTTTCTCAATTGCTAGCTGTGCACGGGTAATATCATCTTGGGAGGTGAATCGCCTTGAGTGAATGCGTTTTCGCTCACGGCGGACGAGTTGTCCGACCTCGTGCACGGTGAACTGGGTGTCGCGCGCGATGCCGGTCCACGGGTGTGGGACTCGTTGTAGAACGAAGGACTCGCCTGTGGATGAAGCGGTTCGTGAATTGTCAGATAAGACCATGGTGTCATTATCTGCGACGAAAGAAAGCAGCATCTCCCAGTAGATGAGAGCTTCTTCGAAGAACCGGTAGTTATTGCTGTCGTTCTTAGGCAAGCCGAAGCCAGGGCTGTGCGATGATGAAGCGATGGTATTGAGCTGTTTGCGGAGCAGGTTGAAAAATGATATACCCAAGTCATTCGGGTCGTGCCAGCTAGCCGTCTGTCCGAGCATTAGTAGCGCCAGCAAAGACTTGTCGTCTATTACTTCTTCGCGTGTGATTATATCAATAGCTTCGTCACGCATCCTTCGGCCCATAGGACCGAACTGGGGAAATTCAGTGACCAGCGTCGCAGCAGCCATGCTTTGCATTGTTCGACACATTGCCAGTGAAGATCCCCAAAGACGGGATACTGTGGTTCGGAATGGGTTCATCTGGCTATCGTAGCTAGAGAACAGTGCTGCCACTTCCTTGAAATAGTACTCGATCAAGGTCCATGATGGATTATTCAGCGGACGAGATATTGACATGAAGTCATGTGGTACAGGGCGATGTGATGCAGGAGGGTAACTCCGCACAATGGCTGAAGGTGAGAAGTCTCGGTAAACATTATCAACCTGTTCTTCACTTGGCATTGGTCCGATAAGTGACAGAAAGTGTGACAGATCTACACCGGCATCTTCTGACTGTTCAAAGTCATGGAAAGTATCTCTTTGGTGTGTGAAAGACGATACCGCCGCCATCGGGGACGGTGAGCATAGATCCGTCAGTTCGGGTAAAGACCCATGGCCTGGATGGTCCCATAGATTGTCACATAGAGGAGTTCGTCCATCTAAGACAAAATTCAAAGGAGCTGGTTCATGCGTCGACTCAAAAGTTGAGTCATCAGGCAAAGCATCGGCTTGGTTTGCTAGCTGGCTAGGAGTCGCAGAAGCCGCAGGACTCGGGGTTCTCACCTCCGAGATTGATGCCGGTACGGCGGGACTAGACTGCTCATACTTGGTGACCCAGCGCAGGGATTGTGCATAGCCAGGGCATCGGACGCCTAAGCGGGTACAGCGAGTGCAGTGAGGTTTCTCTTCGCCGCATTTGACCTGTGCATGTTAGTATCCGATTTCCCGGGCGGAAAACGGGAAACACGAACCCGTTTACTTTTGCATCTTGCACAGCCATTTCTAGATTTCTTAACGCGGCGCATTATAAACCACAAAGAATATGAACCTGGAAGGATCCGACAACATTCAAGATGCGGAGTATAGGCTGGGGGGAAAACCGTGCGGGGAGTGAGGAATTGACCTTATCGAGATAAACGGGATTCTTTTGCCTCTTTGGGCAGGTGAAAGGAGAGAAATGGCAGTCTCTGAATTGATGACTATATACTATAGGACTATGTCAATTATCTAGAAAGTTATGTATATATGTAGTAAAATCAGCATAAAGCACACCTCTATTGCTTCGACCTCCGTGGGAAAAATATCCATGATGACTCAGCTATATAGCCTATGGCTTGGGGCTGGCCCGGCTGGGTTTGTGCTTTGTAATTGATATCTACACCTGTGCAGGACTCGATCATGACATATCTAATAAGCAGCAAGGTAAGCAAATGTCCAAATCAGCATTTATATAAGTCTAACATGAAGATAGGCAATCTCAAAGAGACTTGTTCAGACGAGACTTGTGACTTCCAAGCCGGCGGTGATCCCGGCTAACGGCCTGATATCAATCCCAAGTCTCCGTGCAAATCCCATTGCAAGGCCTCAATTACAGAAGAATTTCGGCAGAAGTACCATTGCTCGCAGATTTCACCCAAGTCCCATCACAATGGCGAGCTCCTCCGCACTCAAGCAGACTTTGACACCAACTCTCCTTGATGACGTGCACAAGTTGTGGTTCGATCATTTAAGCTGCGAAGAGGCACTCCTCCTACCCGAATGGAGCGAGATGGGAAAGTGGTTTTCTCGTGACGAGGCATTCGACGAGGCCTGTGTGTAAGTGACCATTCGTGTCCTTATCTCAGCGTCAAAATAGAAGACTAACGAGCTCAAACAGCACCAAATTCGGCCCTGCCCTGGAAAAGATCGCTGGCTCGGGAGCCTCAGCTACGCAAATCCTCTCTGCATTTAGCCCATCCTCGCCGATGGACTGGCTCAGCATCATTATTCTACTTGACCAGGTTCCCCGCAATTGCTACCGGGGGGCCGAGTCGAAACTAGTTTTTGGGTGCTTTGACCCGTTAGCCGAGGAGATCGCCCTTCGGGCGATCGAAGAAGGTATACCGACTCAGTCGCCATATTTCAAGTATCGCATGGCTTATCGTACCTGGTTCCACATGCCCCTTATGCATTCGGAAAACTTGGGTGTGCATGAGCAAGCCGTCAAGGTGCACGAGGGTACAGCCAGAGATGTGAATGAGCTTCTAGCTGGGGATGTATCGACTCTTACGGAAGAGGAAAGAAAATGCCACGAGGTTCTATCTAAGAAGGCGGAAGCACTTCAGGCATTCCTGAGCAATACTCTTGACTTTGAGAAGAGACATAAAGTGATCATTGAGCGATTTGGACGATATCCACATCGGAATCAGGCACTGGGGAGAGTGTCTACCCCGGAGGAGATTGAATACCTGAACAATGGCGGTGAGACATTTGGATGACTAACCGAGCATATATTTTAATATATAAGTTTGAACAAAGAACAGATAAAGAAAGTCGAACTTTTATTGGGCGATAGACTTTACAGATCTTATTAGGAGGTATTTTTATAACTTGGCCCCCTAGAATCTCAGCACTGCCCCAATCAGGCAAAAATCCACGCGACAGCACGTCATTTTGGTAAACTTGAAAAGAAACCCTGCATAATATAAAGAATTGCTTATTCCACCACATCATATTCATCAGTTAATTATGCCATTTTCATGTCTTTCTAGGTATAAGTACCAAGGAGCAAGCACCCAATTAGGCATGTGCTCCTAAAATTTGAGACATCCATTGCATGAGTTACATACATAATGGAGATCAACACTCTAAAACTCCATAGGTAACTCATTGTACGAATTACCCCTATTGTCGCTCGATTCGCCCACATGAATGACTTGAATGCAATGTGCATTTTGGTCTTCCCACCTCTCTTTCATTATGATACCACGCCAGCCCTTTGCCAGGCCCTTCATTATCTCGCTACTGGTTGTGTCAGTGACATCATCCAAAGTGCTTCATCTGCTCCAGCATGTCTCTTCTCTTCCCGGAATTCAATTTGCACTCTACTTTCCGACATTCTTCATTGTTGAGACTCTTCTATTCGTCACCGCGTGGGGGTTGCTATTTAAATTTACGGGCGTGAAGTCCCTTTTGGGCACTGCGGTGACAGTGGCCATCGCGTAAGTACTTCAAATCTGCTATTACTAGAGTCAAGGAGCCAGATTCGAGATTTTGACTGTTACAGATTTTTGAGCTTTATCCTGTCCTCGTCTCAAATATGTTTCTATCTCGTGACTGGCAGTGAGATCCCCTGGGATGGAGTCACAACCGTGGGAAGTGATCCGGAAGGGAGAAAGCTGATGCTCAGTGGGCTGACATCGTTTCTGGGAGCCGCGGGCGCCCTTCTTGTGATCTCATGGCTACTCAAACATTGGGCATGCATTCTCATAGACAGCTGGGTGTTTGCGCTATTTAGCGCACAAACCGGAAAGGCAGACGAAGGAGCCATCATTACCAGTCCCAAAAGAAAGCCGAGGGCAGCACGACTCATCCAACTTTTGACAGTATGCGCTGCGATAGTCATTGGACTCTTGCGCTTGACTCGGCCCCAGGTGCCTTATAACCATATGTCTGAAACTATCCCGTTTAGCTTTTTCCGGGCCTTGGGCTCGAGACCTGCTGAACTACATCAGACTGGAGATCAATCGTTTCCACTCGCGGACCTGACTGATGAGCCATACTGGGAAGGTCCACACGATCACTTCAAGGGCTGGGCCCCGGGAAAGGCAGACCCTAATGCCACAAATGGTCGACCCGCATGGGCGTCTGGGAATTTACCACCAGGGTTCGGGCGGTGGAGTGAAGGAGAGTCTGACGGAGATAACGGAGACATTGTTACTGGGGATGGAAATGGGACTCGAAAAAACATTTATAGTCCTGTGGATGACCCTCTTCGAATCACCAACCTCGACCGTGAAATGCTTGAACCCGTAGCTCGGGCTCTCAAGGATCATAAAGTTCCCATCACACATGTCGTGGTTGTGTTGATGGAAAGTGCTCGGAAGGACATATTCCCTTTCAAGTCAGGCTCATCTTTGCACAAGAAGATTCTATCATCCTACGATACCCAAGATCCCGCAGTATTCCAAGAGATCGAGGACAAATTATCGCATTTGACACCGAATGCAGAGAAGTTGACCGGGGTGGCCAGTGGACTTTCGACGAATAATCACATTTCCAACCTTTCTAGTGACGGATGGAATAGTATGACAGAACCAGGAATGGGCGGCATCAATTTCAATGGTATACTCACTGGCAGCAGTGTATCGCTCAAAAGCGAAGTTATGAACTACTGTGGCGCGGGCCCACTGCCAGTGAACTCCGTGGATGAGGTCAAATTCCAGAATTATCAGCCGTGTATCATGCAGATGTTTGAATTGTTCAACCAACTCAAGGAGAAGTCAACTGAGAAAACAGTGAGTCATAAGCCTGGTAATGGGCTTGAGCACATTCATGGTCGAAACTGGAGCTCTGTGTTCTTGCAGTCCATCACAGGCCAGTTTGATGAGCAATACAAGCTCAACAGCAAGATGGGTTTTCAAGAATCAATCTATCGTGAAGACATCGCCAAGCATAGTGCCAAACATCATCACAAGAACATGATGGAGATCAATTACTTTGGGCAAGCATCTCATTCTCCCGGCTGAAGACTATCCTAAACTCTGAGTACTCACATTACTAACACTTGTGGATGTTATTTAGATACCCGGAGTACGAGATATACCCATACCTGCGAGATGTGGTGAACAATACAATCGAGAAGAACGAACGACTCTTCCTGTCACACTTGACGAGCACAACCCATCACCCATGGGGCATGCCCACGACATATCAACAAGAGCAGTACTTTGGCGGAGACGATATCCTGGCGACGCACAAGGACATCAACAAATATCTGAACACGGTCCGATACGTGGACACATGGCTTGGCGACATAATGAAGGTCCTCGCTGAAGCTGGGATTGCAAACGAGACATTAGTCGTATTTGTGGGAGATCAGTATGCTGCACCTACTTCAGTAACTCCGCACACAACAGCCGAATAACCATGTACTGATCTCAAATAGTGGCCAGGCTTTCACTGAAGACGCGCCAGCCTCCGGTACATATGAGAACGGACATATCAGCAACTTCCGCATTCCCCTCGTTTTCCGACACCCGCTATTGCCAGCACTGCAGATCACAGCAAATGCAACCTCGATGTCTGTCGTCCCGACCATTCTCGATCTACTCGTGAATTCAGGCTCCTTGAACGAGATGGACTCCGGAGTGGCTCTAGACCTGATGAATGAATACCAAGGACAGTCACTGGTGCGCCCATACCAAGCTACCCACAATGGCCGACAGGCATGGAACTTTGGAATTATCAACCCCGGTGGTACAATGCTCAGCGTTGGGTCTGCGGCGGTCCCATATCGACTCATATTGCCGCTCGATGGAGACTTTGAGTATGTGTTCTCTAACCTAGACACCGATCCAGACGAGTTGAGTCCATTGCGTGGGTGGTCCCTCGAGGGGTTGATCAGCGATGTACAAAGCAAGCATGGAGACAAAGCCGGGAAGTGGCTAGCAGACGCGGAGAAAGTAGGAAAATGGTGGATTGAGGAGCAGAAAATATTATGGAATTACCAATAGAAATGCAAATAATTCTCTTCATTTTTTTTTAAACTGCAGATCAAAAAGAAAAGAAGAATAAGAAGAGAAGCGGGTTGCCTTGATATTGTTCGGTTTCTTTGTATGAGCCTGAGGCAGACACACCCGCCCCACCTCCACCTCATGTTTTATATTCGCTGCATTTCGCGTTCGATCTTTTATTTAGACAAATCTCTTTTCAACAGGAGTTTGATTGATCGAGGTTGCATAATCTCACTTCGTGCAGAGCCTTAGTCGTGAGACTCAACCCGGACTCCTGTGCATCTGACACCTGTACCCCACCATTTGATTGCATCCCGGCAATTATTCTTCCACTCTTAAGCTTCTCACTCCAATCTGCACCGAATCATGGAGGGAACATATTCCACCGATCCCGAATGGGCATCTGTTACCCCAATTGATCTGGATGATGGCTCGAGCTCGGGTGCTATGCCACTGGCGACCATCGCCTACCCAGCCGACTACCTCGAGGCGACCTCGTATTTGCGTGCAGTGATGGCCGCGAACGAGATGTCTGAGCGGGCATTGAATTTGACTAAAGATGTGATCTCGATGAATCCAGCGCATTACACTGTATGGTAAGTTGGCTAGTAATAGCTCCCCGTGACATGCCATATCGCATATCTGACATTCTATACAGGATCTACCGAGCAAAGATTCTATTTGCTTTGGAGAAAAACCTGAATGAAGAATTGAGCTGGTTGAATGATGTCTCATTGAAGTACCTCAAAAACTATCAAATTTGGTATGTCGACTATCACCCGGCAACTACCAATGCCAGAACGCCATGAAAGATAAAGAGACAAGAGAACAAAAAGAATAGACACAAAACTAATGCACAAACAGGCACCACCGCCAAGTCCTGCTATCATCAAAGGCGCACTTCCCAACTTTCCCACCCAAAGAAGCAGACTTCCTAATGGAGATGTTCGCCCAAGACTCCAAAAATTACCACGTATGGACCTACCGTCACTGGCTTGTGCGTCACTTCGGACTATGGGACCAACCACGCGAACTCGAAGACGTGGAATTCCTCCTGAAAGCTGACGTGCGCAACAACTCCGCCTGGAACCACCGGTACATGCTCCGTTTCGGACCGCGGGACACATCGCTCCCAGATGCGGGGATGGTGAACGCGGGTGATCTTTCCACAGCACCGGCTGAAAAGGGCAGACTGTCCGTTGTTGACGAGGACATGGTTGATGGTGAGCTGAAGTTTGCGCAGGAGGCTATCCTACGTGCGCCGGAGAACCGGAGCCCGTGGTGGTATGCTCGCGGTGTGCTGAGAGCTGCCGGGCGTGGGTTAGAGGAGTGGGAGGAGTTTGTTGGTGGGTTCGTTTCCGAGGGGGCCGTTAAGAGTTCGCATGCTGTTGAGTGGTTGGCGGATGTTTTCGCTGAGACTGAGAGGGAGAGTGAGGCTGTTCGGATGTTGACGATGCTGAAGGAGGAGTTTGATCCTATCCGGAAGAATTATTGGGATTATCGTATTCGGAAGCTGGATCAGGGCGTGGATGGTTTGGGGAAGGGCATTGAGACTCTCGCTGCCGTATGAAGGCCGGAAAACATGTGGTGCTGAACATTGTCTATCGGAACAACTTAGATGTGTTCTAGGGTCTTGGATGTTTTATTGAAAAGTATTGCGTCCAAAGGGTATTCTTTTTTCAAGTAAAAGACCGCTGTATAATTTGTATGATTGTAAGAATGAACGATGCGAAAGTCCAAGCCTCTATCTGGATGATAGTAATTAGAAAGTCTGAAATCAACAAGTGTAGTCCCGCAAATAAAACGCCAGAAGTCAAACCAAACAAAAGGTATAAAAACAAAAAACATCCATCATCATCAATATTCATGCCCATCCCTCATCCAACATCTTGCGCCATTCACAAGCCATGTCAATAGTGACATAGCTACCGCCGCAGACAATGATGACAACTCTACTCTGTGAGTTGAGATCAGGAACAAGTTGCTTAAGCTTCGAGTTGAGCTTCTCGACCTCTGGCTCAAGCTCCTGATCCGTCTCATTATCAGTCGAGGTCGACCGGTCATCACCATAGCCCTCATCGCGATAAGTAACTTCGGTCTCGCCCAAGTCCCTCTTACGCTTTTTAATGCCCTGAGCGCCTGTGCCGGCAGTCACCGACGCAGGAACAGCAGTAGCAGCATCGCCGATGGCCGCCTCGATGCAGACACCGCACGCAAGCTCGACGAGGAGCCGTTCGTCATTGGCAAGGCGGAGCACGCCGCGGGCGGCGTCTGCATCCGAGAGGACGGTGCTGTGCACCTTGATGCCTGGGGGTGGGGACATGGCGTACTGGAAGGTTGTTTCCGAGACGCGGACAGCGCCAAGGGAAGTGGCCTGGGATGTGATCTTTGGGAGAGAGATGAGGGATTTGTTGGCCATGGCTGCTGCCAGAGAATCGGTACCGGCCGTTTCAATGGCGAGGAGGTGAATGGGGTTTGGTTTGGAGAAGGAAGAGGTGATTTGTTTCTTCTGTCGTCGTTTTTCGATGCCCATAACGAGGCCGTTGAGAAGGCCACCGCCGCCCACGCTGCAAAGGATAGCGTCTAGGGGAAGGGCCCGGTCATTGTATGCTTTTTTATCTTCGAGACTGGTGATAGGAGGAAGCTGAGTCTCGAGCTCGTCGATGATGGTACCGTTTCCTTCCCAAATGGGCTGGTTGTCGAACGGGTGGAGGGCAATCTTGATCACATCCTGGTCGTCTCCACTGCTTGTCTTCATGATAGTTTCCCGCATGTATTCTCCTGCTTCTGAGAATGTCTCACCATGACGGATGACATCTGCTGCGCCTGCTGCCCGGATTTTGTCAAGCATCAAGGGCTTCGTGCCCATAGGCACCACGACAGTGCATGGGTAGCCCAGGCTCCGGGCTGCACAGACGGCTGCCAGTCCGGCGTTTCCTCCGGACGAGGCATAGAAGTGGACTCGGCGGCCCACGTTTGCTGGATTGCGAAGGTGAGATAGGATCTGGTTGCCCATAGCACGGGACTTGAAGGAGCCGCTTGGCTGCACGTTCTCCAACTTCAGGAAGATCCTACATCCAGCTGCCCGAGAAAGACACGCAGACTCGACCAGTGGTGTCTCGATCCATGGCGTTTTGAACTGCAGTTGATCGCAGGCAGAAATGTCGATGCTCCCCATTTTGATGTGTTGAACAAACGGAAGAGGCAAAAACAGTTCTGTTGTTCACCGAAGGAGTTCCAAGACCTGAAGTATAGGAATGATTGTTCCCAAAATAGTAAATTGTTGAGTCGACTGGTTACACGACGGTATATTCACACAGAGAGATAGGAAGATATCGGGAAGAAAAAGAAAAGCGAGAAATACTAAAATATCCAAACTCCAGTATGCAAATATTAAGACATGTTTTGATATACAAAGTGAGCCTCCAGGGCTAGGGCAAAGGTTTTCCGACGGGAAAACCCCAGTTTCCCGCCTGATAGGACTGACCGCAGCGTCCACGGTTCTGGCCCAGCCTTTCCCGTCAACAACCTCAAGGGAAACCCCAATCACAGTGGGTCGGCCATGACGGTCATGACATACCGTTACATACTGTTTGGATTAGAGTGGCCGGGCGTGGAAAACCTAGCGTCTCAGCTTTCGAGATGTGGAGGACTCGGGAAAAAAAAAACCTCAACTCTGGCGCATCTAAGCGGAGAAGATGCATATCTTTATTCAGAGGGACCTCTCGACCGCTCATGATTGGCCGCTGGTCGATTCCTCTTATCAAATCGAAAGCTCAAAAACAGGCAAATTACTCCTCAGTGAGCAAAGGAGGGAAGAGAACCCCTTTCTTAACGCCCTCACCGTAATCTGTATCCGAACCGTACGCCGTGGCCGCGAATGCCCGCTTGGAGGGGTCCGAGGTGTTTACGCGGAGCAATTCTAGAAGGTCATGAGACTTGCCGGGCATGAACGGTTGCAGTAAAATGCCAGTGATCCGCAGCGATTCCGCCACATTGTAGATGACTCGTTGAGAGTTAGGGGTTTTCCACGGCTCCGCCGCATGGAAGTACTTGTTAGTCTAAAAAACAGGTCAATACTCGCCGAACCCGTGCGGGGATGATCACCTTACCTTTTCGATAATACTCATAGTTTCGTGCAGCGCGGCACGGGGGTTCAGATGCTGCATAAGCTCGGCAACCTGGAGAGGCGTCTGCTCCAACATTTCTTGATGTTCCAAGTCCTCAGGGGTAGCAGCTGGAAGCTTATCCAATCCGGCATCCATAATGTATGACCGCAAATTGCCACGCGCACATCCAATTGTACGCAAAGCAAGGTTTCCGAGGCCCCCCTGAAGCATTTTCTTGTAATCTCGGATGATAAAGGAATTGTCAAAGTCCGCATCATCTGCAAGGCCACCCCGGTACGCTAGGAAAAATCGCATGCCATCAACTCCGAACCGCTCAATGGCGAAAAACGGGTTCACAACATTGCCTGTGGACTTGGACATTTTTTCACGATTCATCGTCCAATGTCCGTGCACCAGGACATTCCGAGGTAGGGGAATATCAAGTGCCATGAGGAAAGCAGGCCAATAAACACAATGGAATCTGCTAAATGATTAACTTTGCACGCGATCCTTAGGGAAAACTTGTGGACGCACCGAACAATATCTTTGCCAACTACATGCAAGTCTGCAGGCCATATAGATGTGTTTTCTTGTCCAGGTGGGAAAGGATATCCAGCTTTAGTCAAGTAATTAACCAGCGCATCTAGCCACACGTAGATTGTCTGCGTGTCATCGCCAGGAACAGGGATGCCCCATGTCAAACGTTCCACGGGCCGAGAAATCGAGAGATCCTGCAGTCCCGACTCAACTCCATTGACGACAGCAGCTGTGTAGGAGGTAGGGGTGATAAACGGATCTTCTCTTTTGTACAAGTCAAGTAAACGATCCTTGAAGGCTGAGAGACGGAAGTGGTAGTTGGTTTCTGAGGACCACTCTACCTCTTTACCCGTTTCTATTGAGACCTGTGTGTGGTGAGTATTCGTACTCGTTGGAGTGATGATGGTTTACATACCATGCGTTTCCTCCCTGTTGATGGATCTAGGGAGTTCTGCACTTGCGTCTGTGGGTAGAATGTCTCATCGCTGACGGAGTACCAACCTTCATGCTTTGAGGTATAGATATAGCCCCGGTGTTGCAACATTTCCTACTCATAATCAGTCGTGCTCTACTGAACGGAAGATAGTGGCCTACCCAGAAATATTGGACGGCATCTCGATGCGCCGGGTCGGTGGTCCTGATGAAATGATCATTGTCGAGGTTTGCAGCCTTTGCTAGGGTCTGTATCACATATGTTGAGTTGGGGATGCCCTTGGATATGGCAAAGGGGGACTCGCACCTCAAAGGTTCGGCAGTTCATATCACAAAATGCCTGGGTATCCATGCCCGCTTGGATGGCAGCTTGTTGAATCTGTGATTGATGTCAACGGCTATTATCGACCTACAATGCCATGCATATGTAGTACCTTCATTCCATGCTCATCGGTTCCGGTGAGTAGTTGAGCATCTGTGTTCCCGAGCAAGACCTGCCACCGTTTCATGATATCGGCGATCACCATTGTGTATAAATGGCCGACGTGAGGGGCTAGAAGTCGAACGTACTATTAGCAACCCATTTTACACATGTTATCCACTATGAATCTCACCAGCATTGACGTAGAAAATTGGTGTTGTCACATAGTAAGGCTTGTTGGATCTCTGCGGCGTAGTTGTGACTCCGCGCCGGGGAGTCGTTGCCCACCCATGCTTGCGGGAGGTACAGTTCCACAGGTGTCTCGATCTCAGAAGTTGAGACGCTCTAAATAACGAGCGAAGTGGCGTCCTTGCTGTAGCCATTGGTATGGTGATATGGCAAGAAGAGCGTCGCATGTTATTCCGCATATCTCGGGTGGTCCGAGCTTCTCCGCAAGTCTCGGCCAATTTTCTGCGCTTAGGTACCTCGCCGCGCTTACATCGTCATCGAGCACACCCACGACCTTGTCTTCAACAGTATTTATATATATATTTTCTCAGTTGAAACGTATTTCTACGTCTTATATCGCGCACAACTATCCCCCCCTTTTTGTCAACTTGAAATACCGCTCGCGATGGCTGCAGCAAGCGAGGATACACTAACCAAGGTGTCGACCGAGGGTAAGTCTCAAAATATAAGCTATGTCATCCCTCATTGGAAGCAACTGACCTTTTGTTTGTTTTCTTGCTTAGCTGCGACCGAGTTTGTCAAGACCTTCTATCCTGCTTTGGGATTAAACCGTGAATCTCTCAGCTCCTACTACTCCCTCGAGCCCACAACCATCCTGTTCAATGGAAATCGTGTCACAGACGGCGCCGCGGTGCAAGAAATCTTTACCAATCAAATGTCGCCAACATACTACGAAGTCCAATCATACGACTGCCAGATCATCAACAAAGCATACCCTACCATTTTGCCGGGTGGCGGATTGAAGCCACAGTCAGAGATGGGAGTCAAAGACATGTCATTTCTCATTGTAGTCAGTGGATTTGTGCGCTATGGCGAGGGTCGTGATCAGCCGCAACGCGGATTCAGCGAGACATTTGTGCTGGTCCCCAATCCATCTGCAGAGAGGGCAAGGGGCCGCAAGGATTGGCTTATCGAAAGCCAGAACTTCCGCCTTGTCGTTTGAGCAGCCATGCAACATTTGATCCAACGAATTATGAATCAGCCACACAAGCCAACAGGCTATGCCATGTGGTGGACGGAAGTGAAAGATAACCAAGCCATGCCCACCCACCAAGGATGAACTACTGGGAGATACGATGTAAACAATGGTCCACTGCTTGAAATTGCTTCACAAACTAGAGCGCCAGACGCCAGAAAGAGAAGGAAAAGTTGATGTCTTCCCCAGATTATGGCCCAGCCGATGTCTTGCGCGGTATGCGGAGATTTGCTTTGACTCTTTCAAGCAGCTCCTCACGCGTCGCACGCTCATTCGGTAAGAGCCCTCTCTGAGATATTTGGTCAGTGTACCATTCTCAAGAACATATATAGGACTTGGTCATGTCTAAATAAATCACTCAAAACATACCGCTTGAAGCCATCTTTTTATCTCATCCATTGTCCAGTTTTCAGGGTCTGGCTTTCATTAGCCAGTGTTTGATACCTAGTAATACCTACTCTTACCGCCAGTGGGATCTGCTTGCGCGGGGAGAACATCGCTGCCCAAGATGGTATAGGCTGCCACCGCAGTGACCATTCCTGCAAATCCTATATAAAAAGGTTGTGGTCAGAAATGTTGGTAAGTGCCATAACTTGGGATCATCTACCAAGGAATAGATTCTATCGAGTTCAGCATTAGACATCTTTCATAAAAAAAAGACAGACATGTTAATACCTTGGAATTCAATGCTCGGTCTAGAGGGGTCGGCATTTTCAAAAATGATGCAATACTCTTTGAATCTTAGGTTAATGCAAAAATCTCCCTGACTATTTAGAAGAAAATATATAGAAGAAAAAAGTCTCAAAGGACACGTGCAAAAGATAAGTATTCAAGACGAATAGGTAGATGTGAACAGTTCGTCAAGATGCGGGTTGCACCGCCACACCACGCCACCCTGGCTGCTGCCTCCGAAGTTCAAACTATACAGTTGCAACTACTCCAACTACATACTTCAATGACTCCCGCCGGTTGATAGCACTTTCCTTCAAATAATTATATACATAAACATCGAGTCATGATTAGATACTGTTAAAGATACAATGCCACCTGTAACTTTGTTGCTCTCACTGTTCTAGCAGCCATTGCATCACATATCTATACCCATTAGTCTATCATTACTGCCCTCGATCATTTCAAATCTTCGAACAGCCTGTTCGGATAGACGATATGGAAGCAGTCATCTTCCTGTCTTCGGTGACGTTCGTTATTGCCGTGGGAGCTGCCATCATACAGGGGTATGGTTGATATTCATTGCAGTATGTATCAAGCCAGGCATTGACCCTGTTTACAGCGTAGGATTTTATAGACGATACCGAGTCCACCTGCATGTCACATCAAAAGGCAATACTCCCCCAGAAAGTCTGGACCTGGAGAGATTCGATCCTGAGGGAAGCACACCCCTTCAGCCGCCGCCGAAACTGCATCGCCATTCACGATTGGGGAGTAGAAATTCGAGGTGGCCAGGATATGCTGAGCAACGGAGTCAACCGTCGCGAACAATGGTGGACTCCCATTTTGCATCATATCGCATCCCCGAAGAAGCAGACACAGGGACCGTCCATCATTTCCCGCATTCGCCCCCAAATCTCCCAGCCACATTTATGACCCCACTTGCACGAGCCACAACGCCCCAACCAGCCACCGCGACTTCGCCGCCTGAGGCACCAACCCGACTGCAAATTGTACATGACTAAGCAAGGGCTTTTGCAGCTTCAAGCCCTAACGTGATCCGCACACATTCACCTTAGAGGCTAGTGTCGACAGTGAGCTTTCTCTTTTGCACCTTGCTTCAAAACACCCGCAACCGTCATTATGCCTGCCGAAGTCTCCGATATCAAGCAGTTCATTGAGATCTGCCGCCGGAAGGATGCCTCCTGTACGTTGCGCTACATTGATGGACTTCCGCCATGAGACTTGGAGATGATCATCGATGCTGACTGTTTACGCCTTTAGCCGCCCGCATCAAGAAGAACGGCAAGAACCAGCAGACCAAGTTCAAGGTCCGCTGCCACCGCAACCTTTACACCCTTGTCCTGAAGGACTCCGAAAAGGCCGACAAGCTCAAGCAGAGCCTGCCCCCTGGTACGTTACGATCGCATTGTTCCGCCGTATGAGTTGAGAAAATTGGAGGATATGCATCTTGGAAGATGGACTTTGAATACAGCTCTGAACCTATGCTGACAATTTATTTCTGAACAGCCCTCAAGGTCGTCGATGTCTCCAAGGGCACCAAGAAGACCAACTAAATTCGGTAACAATGGACTGAATGGAGGATCGGAGTGCGGCGTGATTGGTTGTTGATGCATGCAAGACCAACTGTTGGAGGGATACATGACACGGGCTTGGTCCCTCTGCGAGCCGGCACGGGGAAAACTCCGTGGCGCGGAACATGACTTTCACGCCCGGGGAGTTTCTTTGCGCCTTTGAAACCGGCTGCTATTATTCACCGGTTAGGCGACTCGCATTTTCTGGACGCACTCGAGGAAGGCTTTTGTCGGAGTTTCCAGTCCCTACAACCCAATGAAAAAAACAGTTGAAATATCATTACTACATAGGTTTCTCGTTATCAGTCGAGATTTCCTAATCCATTATCCTTTATCATGGATGTTCTCCCGACTTTGATCTTGTCTCCCAAGGCAACAAGTAGACCGGGTAAATGCTGACTTGTGTAGATCAACGATCCTTCAATCGTCCTGTCAGCAAGCGTCGCAGTCGCCTCCGGCCTTGTCCTTGACTCGACTTTATTCGAGACGGAAGCCCATCGTGATCTCTGGTCAAATAATCTCAGACTGACACTAACTATATTTCTTTCCGTAACTTGATACCTCGACTGAAAGGAATACCGAAGCCTATTTTTACCCGGCATTGGGTCCTTTGGATCAGGGTTTGGGTCCGAGTCTTTCAACACTACCTCATACCTTTGCTCGCATAATACCATTGTTGAGGATGATTATCTTGAAGAACAAGCGTGTTGAAAGACCTTTGTGGTTCTATTCTTTTCGTAATGGTCAAAGCAAGTATATCCACAGCATGTCTCCTCGAACCTATATAAATAAACTCGGAGCCCCAACACAGAAGCCATCAACAATTTTTATCATATCAGAATCGCGTGGTTCCATATTCATCTCGATCAATAAATATATATTGTCGTTTTCAGAATCTCACTCGGTATTCAACACGGGTTCATTCAGACAACCCAGCGAAGGTTAAATTGGAAATATGTGCCACCAAAAGCCATTGGACCCTGCTTTGGGCAACCTTGGCGTATTCCCACCAGAGATTATCCTCAATATCCTAGACGAGTTCTTGGGAAGCTCTCCCAGATTAACACACGAGAACTTTCATTCCATTAACCAGCTAATGAAAACTAACAAAACACTAGCAGAATACATCAAACTCCATTGGATGGATAGCAATGCATCGAACAGTTTCAAACAGCGCGTGAATGCCGTCCAGTGGTACCCAAACATCGATGCTGCGAATGCAGCTCTGACCCTACAGGGCGTAGACCCCGACTACGTCATGCCCATTGAAGGTCCCCCTGGCCTAGGCCCCGATCTCATCACCGGTATCATTCTCAACGACTGCACTGATTGCTTTGAGTGGTTCAACAAGATGCTACCTGCTACTCATATGAGATGTTGCAACGAGGGCGGTTGGTCGTTCCGTTCTCTGGCACTGTACGCTAACGCCGGTAAAGTACTTGATCGTTACTCGGACCTCCCTCACAAATCGAGCGATTTTATCGCTGGGAGTGCTAATGCCACGGGGGCAGGACCGTCAGTCCTTGGAGTTTCTGCCTCATCCAGGAATCCTAGCTCTTTCGCCAAGGTCTTAAAACAAATGCAGATGGTCTTGAGTGGGCCGGGCTTCCAGAAGAGTCATAGAGATAGCCTCGTGCGTAATGATTGAACGGCTATCCGAAGTGTTACTCCTCAGTATCTCCAGGAGATGTTGCATGAAGCCGGTCTGATCGATATGCATCTGACTCTTGGTTATAATTCATACTAATCTAGTAAGTGCACCGATATATACTAGTCTTCTTGATCCATAGGATTGTATCATCCAAAATTTGTACTTGCGCTTAGGATAACATTACTGACATTCGCAGGATATTGCTCTGTCTTGGTATTATACCACTTGATCTTTACATTTTCAGGTGTTAGTATTCATCGTTTTATCATCAATCAAAATTGAACAGTTTCCTCATAGTAGTTATATATTACCAGATACTTTAACTAAGTACTAAATCTTAATCACCTTAGTACCTATGTATCTCCGTAGATCATTACTCTTCAGGCCACGGCACTTAATTCCTATACATAATGCCCTCCGCATTGCTTGGCACGTCGCAGCTTCTCTTGGCATCAATCATATCATACGGTAGATTGAGCGTTTTATAGGAATATATAGCTGATTCTATATTTCCGGCGGCCCGCTACCCCGGATCACCACTATTCATTGCCGTTGTTGGCTGCAGAAATTAGCCATCGGGCTGGCACTTATGCCTCTGGCTTCTGCACCCCGCAAAATATATACATGTGGATCATATTTCCAAGGGGTTTGCTTGACTAGTTCTCTTTATTGGTATAGAATGGGTCCCCATGGCGCCTGATAATATATCTCTTTTGTGTCTCAAACACGGAGGCCTTTCTATTCAGGCCAATAAGATACTGAAAAGGCTATGCTCCGGCTTTGATATATTATTTTCCACCAACAAGTTCCTGCAATAGGCCTCTTAGTCAACACTCGATGTTACATCCCTGTGCTTAACTTATGCCAATTGACGTAATTGTGCTTGACACTATTCCAGTATCAGAACGGACATCCTTCAGGAACATAACACTCGGCTAAATCAATAGTCCCGTAGAGGAACAAACTAAAACGAGCTCTGCGAGGGCTGTGTATATAAACCGTAGCTGCTGAGCTCAAAGATATGTTTGTAAGGCAGAAACATCCACTGAGTTCTTTACAAGAAAGCCAAATCAAAATGACACTTTCAAAGCTATCTACGCTCCTAGCCTCCGCCTCCCTTGTTGCAGGCCATGCCTACGTCTCCAGTATTGTAGCTGATGGCAAAAAGTAAGTCAATCCAAGACCCAGAAGTCTTCTCATACCAACAACCAACCAACCACATTATCAGCTACACTGGTTACCTCGTTGACAAATATGCCTACATGGACGAGGCCCCCGACAGCGTCGGCTGGGCAACAACGGCAACCGACCTTGGTTTCGAAGACGGCACCGAATACCAAGACCCGAACATAATCTGCCATCGAGACGGAGTCAACGCAGCTTTGAGTGCCACTGTTACCGCTGGCTCCGACATTGACATCCAATGGACGACCTGGCCAGAGTCACACCACGGTCCTCTGATTACATACCTCGCCTCGTGCAACGGCGACTGCAGTACAGTCGACAAGGCCACGCTGGAATTCTTCAAGATTGAAGAGGACGGTCTCATTGATGGCGCAACTCCTCCTGGCATATGGGCCAGCGATGATCTTATTGCTGCTGGAAGCAAGTGGACAGTGAGGATTCCTGCTACTATCGCTGCGGGTAACTATGTCATGCGCCATGAAATTATCGGTTTGCACTCTGCTGGCAATAAGAATGGTGCTCAGAACTACCCGCAGTGCTTCAATTTGGAGGTTACTGGTGGTGGAAGTGATGTACCTGACGGCACGCTTGGTGTGGAGTTGTATACTAATACTGATCCCGGGATCTTGTTTGATCTTTACTCTACACTGACTGAGTATCCTATCCCCGGACCGGCTTTGTATGCATGATTAAGTGCTATAAGGGAAATATGAGGTGGAGGGTACTTTGAAGGGATGTGACTTTTGATGCTTCATTTGTTATTCGAGTACTATGGAATGCTATGTGCCCTGTTCATTTGACAACTACGACCCCAAATAACCAGAAACCCCATAAACTATCGAGAAACAAATATCTATTCTGTTCTCTCATAAGGCAAAGCAATAAACCCTCGCACCTTCGCCCCCTCAAGCGCCGCATCCACACCACCTAGACTCAAATCCGCCTTGCGCAACTCGAACTCCCCAAAGAAATTGGGCTCAGCAGAAACCCTCTCAAAGCCAAGCCCCTCAAACAAAGCCAAACTCCTCAAATTTGCCTGTCCAATTTTAACACTGAGACACTCGAGCGTCAGCCCCTCCGATGACGCCGCCGTCTCAACACCAGTCCGCAACTTTCGCACAGTCTCAACATCAACATCACCACCACCAACAAACTCATCCAGAATAGCCCCCTGGTTCTGGATAATATACCGCATAAACATGAGTAGCGCAGCGCGCCCAAACCCGCGTCGCTGGTTGACCTTCTCAGCGATCATGAGCTCGATCTCGCCGACTATCTGCGGCGGGCTGTCGCCCTCCTCGCCATCATCGATGCGCAGAAAGAGATTGATATCACCAACCATAGTAGCCGGCGAGTCACTTTCTGCTTGCAGCTCTGCCTGACTGGGGATGTCATCTTCGGCGCCTGTTGTGATCGCCCGACAGACGATGAAGGTTAGTTTGTCTGCGTCTTGGCGCCAGCTGCGTTGCATCGAGTATTCTTCTTCTAGAGTTAAGGGTTCTGAGGCTGTTGCTTCTTGGATTTCCTGGGATTTTGTGAGAAAGGTGGTCGATTATAACTATGATCTTATTGATCTGGTTTGCTTACCGGGTCTTTCATCCATTCGTGGTATCGGGGTACGTGCCATGATGAGTACGGGACTAAAAGGGCCTTTGAGGAGCAGAGGGCTATTCCTCAGAAATCTAAATCAGCTTTTTCTGTTTTTTTTTTTTATAGTCTCGATCTCTGGGGGAAAGTATATATGTGGGTATGGGCATAGAGCAGCGTACCGATGTTGGCATTGAGTAACATTGTGGGTAGATGTTCAGAAAGTGATCATTTCCAGTGTGAATGATTCAGAATTGTCCAACTGGTATGTACTATTGCAGGGAAATACCCATTCGACGTCTATTAGTGTCTCGATGGATATAAAGCAGAGGAAGTTAGTGGGATGGATTCTTCCAATTGTGGGTCTTGGCGCGTGGAGCCACTCGGGTTGTATACGATTTGTCTGAGCGCTATGGGATTATATAAATATATCAATATGCATGTGATTTGGCAAGATGGTTATTTCATTAGCACCATTGATGGATTGGTATCTCTATCACTTCATTTTTGTTCTTCCTGGCCCTTGAAAACTTCAAACCGGACCACCTCGACCTCTAGCGTCTCGGTATCAACCAGAATTAACTCCCCAGTTTCGTTGAATTTGGGAAGTGCCAGCAGCCGAACACGGGCTGCGTCGGAGCCATCAGCAGCACCCATCATTTCAGTATCGCCATCTAGGCGGAGAGGGACGTCACCCTCAATCGTGGCAGTCTTGAACTGTGGCTGATTCCCAGCGAAAAAGATATGCGGGCAGGACTCAATAACATATGGATCATCGGACTGGAATGGATATGACCCTAGAGAGTATTGTTAGCAAAATTTCTCTGAGGACTCGGAGGTCCAAGCATACAAATTGTGTCCGGCGCAGTGGGAACGCCGCAGCGCCAACGAAGCATGGCTTCCATGATTCGCATCCGAGCATCGGAATCCGTCTCCTTGTCTGGGCTGCTATCGCCGCCCTCAATACTGATATACCGCAGAACATCGTCAACATTCTGACCACTGCATCCCCATAGTCGCCAGCCTTCCACGTCACCGTCCCAGGGGTTCGTGACACTGTCAAACCAGCCCGCTTCGGGCTTGTCATCTCCCCTGGCTGGAGGTGCGGAGTATGCCCTTGCTTGAGGGAACATAGTCCGATGGATCCCCTGCTGAGGGAGGGAGAAGTTTGCGGGATCCTTTTCGCCCGGCATGAGCGTGACGGGAATGCTGGGCAAGATCTCCGCTAGGAAGTTATCGAGTTCTGTGATAGGCGCGGAATTGTATGCAGAGGCGTCATAGCCATATTTTTTCGGTTGTGCTTTCGTTGCCTCATCATTGCCAGTGTTTGTTGATGCCACATCGCCAACTACGCTGGCTCCAAGTGAGTTACCTGCAATGACCAAGCGGGTGATTTTAGAGGAACCCAGGGAAGGACTGTTCTCCTCATTTCCCGAGAATCCTGTGTAGCCCAGAAGATAATCTGTCAATAACTCCAAAGCAAGCGTGTCGCTCGATGTTCCTGTGATTCCCAGGCCACTGACGAAGGCGATTTTGCCGTGTTCCTTTCCAGAAACTTCAACTCCATTTTCTGGAGCCTTGCCCTCCCATCGTTGAAGCTGCGGAGCCAAATCCGGCAGTTTGATATCAATAACCTCGAAATCTCCATTCGCATTTTCAGTTCCCAAAGCTGCAATAATGGCACCTGTCGCCAGCTGTGTAGATCGCAGGAAGTTTCCAGTTAGCCGTAAGCGGCCAGACTCATCTTCCATCATGATTTGGGTCAAAGATGGGTTGGAAGGATCAGTGTAAGTGCGGCGGGGAGGTGGTGCAGAGGTGAAGTTCTATGGATTGTTAGTGGAAGAAGAAGCAGGAGCGAGGCCAATGAACTGACCTCTTTGCTGAGATCGTCCAAAATGTTCGGTTTCATTGGTAAATCCATGTAAACGGTGCCGGCGACCCAGCACAGCTCGCCTTGTCGGACATCGAGTACTCGATCGACACGTCGCACCTTCTCTCCAGCAATCTAAATTTGCAAGAATATGTCAGAAAAATTCATAGCTGAGAGTGGAAGATATGTCCTAGGATGAAGTGCCCTTACAATAAGTCCATCCCATGCGTCTTTCGCGACTTTTTCGACGGTAGGCTTCAACTTTGCGAGTCGCAAAAAGTACAGGTCATCAAATTGCTGCTGATAGTGCCGTCCTGCGCCAGTTGGTAGATGGAAGGTGTGACGAGGATTGTAATGGGAGGGTGCGCGGTAAATCGGTTCCTGTTCCTGTTCCTCCTTGCTATCGAGGAAGAGCGCAATCAGCGAAAGCTCCCCCAGTAGCCTGGAGGTAGAGTGGATCAAGAGGTATTACCTGGGAGGACACAAGAAAGTGTAATCCTCAGCATCCGGTGCCATATTTTCCGGAATAATGCTGAGATCTTATGTTTCGGGGGTTGTGGTGATGCAAAGATGTGTTTGACGCGCCCACGCGTCAGTTAGCGCGTTCAATTACATTCCCGCTTCTGGATTTAGTGGCACTGGTCAAAGTGATTTTCTATATGAAAATAATCGAATTGACTCCTGAAATTTGTTATTTATTTCATTAATCTTATCAAATACATCCTTTCGTTTTATAGTCTCAGTCAAGCTTAAATTAGGCTCAAGGTAAAAATAGAACAAAATTCAAGTAATCGAGTTCTCCATATCACATTAAGCCGACTTCAGGAGTTTATGCTCGGTAATGCTGGAAAAGGCTACTCAAAATGTATTCATAAAGTATCATATATTGCATTATATTGTAGGACCTGCATAATGTAGATCGGCTATCAGCTGCCTCGGTCCATGGCTTATAGCTTCCCCGCATTATCAATTGTTCGAACATCCATGATCTTCATGGATGGTTTATATAAATCTAAGAGATTGAGAAACGGCCATCTTTCAACGCAGTTCTACTACTGACGTACCATCTCCATCTCCACAATCCAACCATGTCTCTCCAAACACCATTATGCTCTCTTCTCAAGATCCAACACCCAGTGCTGCTAGCTGGCATGGCCCGCGCATCTGGAGCTCCACTAGCAGCAGCGGTGTCTAATGCCGGTGGCCTAGGTACAATTGGCGGACTGGGATATACACCAGCGCAACTATCAGAGATGCTCACAGAGCTTAAGTCACTCCTCCGGGACCCTTCGCTCCCCTTCGGCGTGGATCTCGCCCTTCCACAAGTCGGAGGCTCAGCACGCGCGACAAACCATGACTATACACACGGTCACCTGGACGAGTTGATCGAGGTGACCATCTCGCACGGCGCCAAGCTCTTCGTCTCCGCCGTCGGCATCCCGCCAGCGAAGACCATCAAGCGGCTCCACGAGGCCGGTATCCTGATTATGAATATGGTCGGCGCGCCAAAGCACGCCGAGAAGGCGTTCAAGGCGGGCGTCGATATTGTCTGTGCGCAGGGCGGCGAGGGCGGCGGTCATACCGGTGAAGTACCGTTCTCTGTTCTGGTACCTGCTATTGTGGATGTTGCGCGGAACTATAAGAGTCCGTTGACTGGCCAACCGGCACTTGTCGTTGCAGCCGGTGGTATCAACGATGGCCGCAGCCTGGCGGCGTCATTGATGTATGGTGCTGCGGGTGTTTGGGTAGGTACGCGGTTTGTGGCCTCGGAGGAGAGTAGTGCTAGTCGCTTGCACAAGGAAGCTGTTGTTGGGGCACAGTTTGGTGAGACCAAGCGCACGCTTGTTATCTCTGGTCGGCCTTTGCGCATGCTGCCAAATGATTATGTCAAGGAGTGGGAAGCGCGGCCTGCTGATATTGCCGCGCTGACTTCCAAGGGTGTTGTGCCCATGATGCATGATTTGGAGAACGAGAAGGATATCGATATGCCGTTCCTCATGGGTGATGTCTCAGCCAGTGTCAAGGAGATAAAACCAGCCGGGATCATCGTGAAGGAAATGGTTCAACAGGCCGTCGAGGTGCTCAAAGTCGGAGGCTCATACATCACTTCCACAGGGCCGGCGAGTAAACTATAGATAGTATAGACACGAAGTTGGATGAATGGGGTTTATCACCTGGTTCCTGTGGCTAGTGCAATATTTTTTGGCATGTTTTTCCTTTCTTTTTTTGATAATAATATGATATGTACTTGTACAAAAACACTTAAAAACCAACGAGACTTGCAGAAACCAACGAGGAAGATGGATCATGCCCTGGCATCCACCGATTATGGTGAGGGAACCCAAGATAGATGGCACCAGAACTTCTACTTTCGAATTGAACACGAATCTCCGGATCTCTGTGAAGGTGAAATGAAGCATTTCCCTTGGGAGAAAAGTACAAAGCCGAAGAAAAGCGTCTTTCGAGGGTAACCAAGTTGTTTCAATCAAAATCGACATCAAATAAATTGGAATAATCTTAGAAAACCAAGCCATTGACTCCCGTAGCGTTGCCATTTGCTCGAGCCTCCAAAAGATTCGGGGGCGGAGTTGGACCAAAGACAGGCTTCTCTGAGGGTTGGTCGACCCGGGTTGGGGGTGGCTCAAGATCTTCCTCATCACTGATATCCTCCTCGTCATCTTCGTAGTCATCATCGTACTCGCTTTCGGTGCCTTCATCATCACCCTCTAAATGATCGTCGCCTTCCGCCAGAGCAAGTCCTTCACCTCGTCCCTGGGCTTGCATACGCCGGCAAAGGGCTTCTAGGTGGTGGCACTTCCGTCGCCATCTTTCAAGTTCTTCATGGTTCCGGGTCCGTTCCTCTGCCATTTCCAGGATATTGCGGTTAGTTTGCTCATGCTTCCGGTTGAGGGTATGATTCTCCTTCTCCAGGCGTTTGGTTTTCTTGGACATTTCTTCCATCTCCTTGCGGAAGGTAAGGAAAAGATCGTTGCTGTTGTTCAAAGTGTCCTCGACCTGAAGGTCTTCGTCAGCGACCGGGGAATGAGAGGGGTTATGGGAACCCTTCTGTACCTGTTTGAACTTCTCCACGTAGATGTTGAGTTGGCTGCGCAATTCGGCTTCGGTATGCGAGAAGGTGGAAACCTGGGAGGTCAAAGCTCGGCTTCGGTTGGCTTCAACTTCACCAGCACGGCGCTGCTCCTCAAATTTGGAGGCGAGACTTTGGATCTCGGAGTCCTTGCCACGTAGGAGGCCCCTGTAATGTAGATCGCGTGTGTCAAACTGCTCGCTGATGGTCTTAAGCTTGGCGCGGAGTCTAAACCTCTCTTATTAG